CAGAGAAATTCAGGGGCATTTAGCAAATATCAAAATATTCTTGATCATAAATGATTTCAGAATGTTTAGTTTTTTTTTTTTATAATGTTTCAAGCATTTCTCTTGCGTATTAAGTTAATAACAGGTGTTATCACACTTGTAGTGAGTCCTGATAAAAATAAAATAAAATATAAAAATAAAATTTATAAACAAAAATAAAAATAATTCAAATTAAGATAAGTCATTAGTGCTTTCATTTAAAACCCTTATTTATTTTCTCTCTCTCTCTCTCTCTCTCTAAACTTCTCTATATATACTTCTTTCTCAACTAACTAGAAGGCAATAAAAAGAGGAAGTAGAAGAAAAGACTGAACCCAGCCAAGAAATGCCAGAAGTTTGTGGGACAAGAGCCTACTTATTTATGACTATAAATCTACTGAAATAAGACAGGCTCCACACATAATTTCTGTTATATATATATAAAAAAAAAAAAAAAAAAAGAAAAGAATACCAGAAAATAAAATAGTTTGGGCCAATCAAATAAATTAACACACTGAGACTTTTGATGTTAGCTGAAACCAAGTTTTGTGCCAGAGTCTGGGAGCCTGGTCAAAAGGATATAAGCTCACAGCTCTGAGCTAGACAGTGAGAGTGACAATAAGAGATGTGATCGCTAGAAAAACCAACCTGAGGCCATCCAAATGTTTCTACAGAACTCTAAACAAGTGATAATCAGAAAGAGCAAGGTCAGGAGAATATGGGTTATGATACAATTTTTCCTAGCAAGTTTTCCTTTCCAAATCATCAGCAAAAGATTCCATGTCTGTCCCATCATACATGTTACTTTTGTATATATATTTAAAATACTAAATGTAACGGTTATTATATAATTGAGGTTAGCAATCTTTACATATGTGTAACATAGTAACAAACTCAAAAACATACAGAAATCAGATAGGGATGCAATTTCTGTATGTTTTTTGGGTAGTAACATAAGAGCAAAAGTGGCACACTGTAGGGCAATTTATGTTAGTATAATACCATTAAAATGCTCTAACACGTCTCTGAGTAATTTTTAATTACCTAAGTATAAATTGACAAAATAAGCTGTCCAAGGTAGATAACTAAAGTATATTGACTGCATTACAGTGTCATTTTCTTTCATAAGATAATAAGAGGAATAAACAAGGAAAAATATTTGACCTGTCTGCAATTTTTCCATAAGCCATAATGGTACACCAGTAACAATTATTTAATATTAATAATAATAAAATAATAATAATAATAGTAATAAAACTTACTGATAATTAGCATTTACAAATAATTATAATTTGAATTCTAGTTATAAATAAAATTAAATGATCATTTATCTTGTCTCTGAGATTCTTTTGGTGATTGCATTCACTCTTCAGATTTGATTGTAAAATTGAATTTTTATTCAGAAATCATATTTTTCTTAAAAGGCATTAATTAATTTTTCTTAAAAGATGTTAACTTACAATGCAAACGTATTTGAACTTGTTCTTCCATAAAAACATTAACGTATGACATAAACCTATTTGAAATTGTTTTGTTATATGTATTAGATAATTTTATATATAATTGGAAGTTAGATATTAATGTAATTTTTTTATTTGAATATGTAGTCAGGCATTTCCGTTTGGATTGGATGATGGTAAAATTTTGTAAATTGAAGTAATAGTGAAGAGTGTTGATTATTTAGATATAAGATATATTTGCCTTGAAATGTTGTTAAGGATTTCAGTTATATTATAGTATTTAAAACCATGCTTGGCTTGATCTAAGTTTAATTACTGTTTATATTATTGGAGTTAGATAGCTAAGTAAATAAATAAATAGACAAATTATTTTTATATTTTTTTCAGCTATATTTTTTACTCTGGTTTTATATAACAATTTCATTTAAATTCTATAAATAGAATTTAATTGCAATTTTAAATTGTAATTTAAATTTTACAAATAGAAAGTGACTTGTTATCAAGTAGAGACTATGATTATGAGTAAATTTAATATTTTTTCTGGATGTCTTAAGTTTATTTTACTTTAGCTTCATAATCCATTATAGGATCCATAATCTGTTATAGTATCTACAATTCATTATAGGATCCTTACACATCTTTCCTCCACATAATTTTTTCATTGATATCTGTCTTTAGCAATTCATTCTGCTGTGATCAAAGGGAGAATGGTATCCTTTTTAATTTAGTCTTGCCAATGTTTGAAAGGTTTTGAAGTGATAAAATCTTTTTTTAAAATGTTTGAAACACATAACTGGATTGGTTTTTCCAAATTACAAGGTCTGATCAAAAAGTATAGGGACTGTTACTATGTTAACAGATCTATAGTACACAGAGTGAAGCCATATAGCATAGACTGAGCTTGAACTTTGTCATGCATACACACTAAGTTATAATGCTCTCCCTCACTTTTGTTTTTTGTAGCAGTGCTTGGAAGGAAAGTGTGTAGAGTGTGGTTAGATTACAGCAGTTTGGGGCTAAGAACAACATTCTCCAGGTTTGACAAACACCATATTCACCAGATCTCATCTCTTGTAACTTTTTCCTCTTCAAAAATCAAATACCATTTGAAAAGAACAAGATTTCAAGATGTTGAGGAAATCCAAGAGAATGCAAAAGGCAGCTGCTTTTTATCTCAAAAAAGGAGTTCCAGGAATGCTTCCATCAATGATGCTGGATAAAGTGTATGTCATCAAAAGGGGACCATGTCGAAGCAGATTAAATGCTGAATTCATATGTGTTGTAGTTTTCTTTTTATAGCACCAGTCCTGATTCAGCACTATAGACTGAGCATGTGAGCAATGTTAAAGTTTTAGAGAAAAAGGGAAAAAAATGATATTTATACTTAACACCAGGAAGAGAAAGTTGAAATTTCTAGGGCACATAATGAGGAAAGAGAGCTTGGAAAATCTGATACTCACAGGACATATTGAAGGCAAGAGGGACAGAGGAAAGCAACATATAAGATACTTAGTGAGCTTGAATAAATGGATGGTTTTGGAGACATGACAAAAAGACAAAATTTATCAAAACCTACAAAGGTCAAGAAATTGTGGAGAGCCATCACTTATGTCCTGAAGGGATATGGCACATAGAAGAAGAATATATGTTTTAGTTATTCAACTGAAAAATATGCTTGATAAATAACTTGACATTAAAACAGAGCATTCATTTTCAACAAGACACAAAACAAAAATATTATCTCATAAAATGATTTTCTTAGATTTGTTACTTGCAAGATCTTATGGAGTAAATCACTTTATATGAATCATCATTTTAATTCTGTCTTGTACAAAATGGATGGCCACAATGATGGAATTCTGCTGAACAAATAATTTTGCTTTGTAATAAACATGTCAATAACTGTTGTCATTTATTAAGCTTTGCTTAGTTTTTGTATAAGACAACAAGTAATAATTATGGCCAATTAGCTTGTTAAATATTAACCCACTCCAATGTATTTTATATGTCAATAACTGCTGAAGATGTTGTTAAATGTTGCAGAGGGTGTAGTTAGGAGTCATGAGTCTTCTTTAGAAAACCATTCTTTCTTTTTATGTAGCAACATTGTTTCTTTGGTTTTATTTTTTATGCTTTTTTTCTCTTCATTCTTTTTGCTTTTTTAAAAATTATACACTCCCTGTTTCCTTTTCTCTTTCCTTCTTTCTTTTTTTTATCACCTTTTATTTTTTGCTTCTTTATCATTAAGTGAAATTTCTGTTTTCATTCTTTTCTTTGTTTCTTAGTTTTCAGTTTATTCTTTATTTCTTCAAGTGTAAGCTTTTTCTTTCTTTAGAAACATTTTCTTCC